GCTTGCCCGCCCGCAGCTGCGTGCTCCCACAGTACCACACCACCTCYGCCTGTGGTGGGCTCAGCTCACAGGCCAGGGTCACTGTGCCACCCAGATCCCCTGTGATGGACTCCAGAGGCCTAGAGAACTTGGCAACCACCTCTGCAAGCACAAGGGGATGTCCGTCAGCTACCTTGCGTACCCCAAGCTCCACGGGGCTCTGCTATGGGTGGCTGCACCAGGTGGGTGCAGCAGGCCCAGTGGTCCTGGAGGAGCTCACCTTCCACCTGCACTGGGAAGTCCTGACTCTCCGTGCCTACCCGGCAACTGTAGACTGCACTGTCAAGCACCTGGGCTCCTCTGACTGTCAGGGTGTGCCTGTCCCCCAGGCTGGTAGCCTGGTGCCGCTTGCTGCGCCGAATCTCCACACCATCCTTGAGCCAAGTCACTGCCGCCACAGAGGGTGTGGCCAGCGTGGCTGTCAGGACGATGTCCTCATGTTCCTTGATCACCAGAGGCTCCCTGCGGCCAGATCTCTCCAGGKCTTGGGACTCAGGTGCTGGCTCTGGGGGAGGTCAGTTGACATGAAGGTGTAGGACTCTCCACACTAGCCCTAATCACTGCCTCTGTCAGGCCAGCACCTAAGGGCCACCATTTAGGGTCCTCAGGGTCATACAGGATGGCCAGAAGAAGTTGCTACYAGGTTGGGGGCCACCAGCTCTTTACCCGAGGTCCTGCCCTTCAGAGAGAAATCCACCCACAAATGGATACTACAGGGATAAAGGGCAGCTAGCAGTCCAGATCAGGCCTCCCCCAACTGCGGGGAGGGTGGCATCCTCAAAGGCAGCCCAAGGAAACTGTGTGGGTGTCAAACCCCAAGAGCAGAGACTGACTTTGGGCACTAGAGAGAGCACCAGAGCGGAGAGGGCCAGGGAGGCCAAGAAGGCCCTCTCATCCTGCCCTTGGGGCACTGGGATAGAGCATTGGTTGCAGAGTCGGTGGCTGGTGGGCGAGTGGTCAGGAGCACAGTCAAGGACAGAGACTGCTACAGTGAGAAGCCTAGTGTGGGATGCTCTGCATCAACACTGCTGGAATTCTTTGGGAGGGTGTCAGCCTGGAGGGACACTCCTGCCAGCCTTTCTGACAGAGGTACTGTGTGTTCAATAGATGCCAAGCCCACAGAGTGCGGAGAGGACCACATGGGTGGGTGGGGCTATGGAGGAAAGGGAAGGGGGCTGCGAATGAGACTGAGGTGCAGCGGGCAGGGTGCCATCCCACAGTGCCCACCTCAGAAGARCTGGACTGTCAGGACCCCCAGGATCAAGACAAGAGCCAGGATCTGCAGAGGAYATTGGGGCCAAGACTTCTGACAGCCAGGCTGGAATCCCAGCATGCAGGGGGCCTTAGCCTAGACGGAGACTCCAGCTGGGGAGGAGCT